TTTATAAGGTAAAAATAATAAAACAAGGTCTTTGTCTGCGATGATTAGACATGTTTTTTATTATTGTCATTAGTGATTATCTCAATTTTGGCTAAAAGAATTGACAAAATCCTACACACTGTGCCTTTAATACTCACCCTGAATTCAAAACAAATGCAACACGTTGCAGATATGATGATGATGATGATGATGATGATTTATTTGGGGAGTCACATGATTTTTCACTAGATGAGGCCAGGCATCAAAAAATAAAAATAAAAACAAATCTGAGACATTAAGAATCAGAAAGCTCTCACTTAAAAATGAAATAATCTCTGCAGGATTAATTAGGCTATTCTGAGTGTCTCTATTTCAAAGATGAGGATGAGGAGAATGAGGAATGTCTACTCAAGCAGCTCCTGAAACTGACTGAGAACATTTATATAAACTATATAGAAAAATATACTTATTAAACTACATTTTCTTAAGATTTTTATGCCATTTTTTTGTAAAGGACAACCAGATTTTTTCAACAGGAAGGGAAAAAACACTGTTGTTATGTCTACTCCTGGTTTCCACATAAAACTGTATAAAAATGTAAAAAAGAAGCAGAAGCCCACCTGACTTCTTCTCCAGCGAAGTCAAACACTTTAGTGATGGTGACCTTTGCTGTTTCCGACACCTTTGTGTTTGGAGTCGGAGCAGTTTTCAGGCCAGCAGGTTCTGTCTGGAGAAACAAATCCAAAGAACTCATCAATAACACCTGAAACACATTGACCTGCTGTGAAACCTTGTGCTACATTTGTTCATTTGCTGAGTTTTCTGCAAACCTGAATCCCACTGCAATAAACTGTGACTGCTTTTAATAGGCTGAAAGTATTAAAGACTAGTTGGTGACTAGAAGGGAAGATGGACACTTAAGCTGGGCTTATACTTCAAAACGACGTGAGACAGCAGGTCAGTGATTGCGTTCTGGATATCTTTCTGAAAGCCATGAAAACCTCCACACCCTCTGTAATTCTACCCTGTCTGTGACTCAGACGATAAAACTGAAAACGTTTTGAGACATTTTGGAGACTCCCTGATGAAAGCTGTTTCCAACCAGCTGAATGTTCACATGTTAGGAGACTGTTCCATCTTTGAGAGAGAGATGAAGTTCAGATGTATTTACCTCCTGTTTGGTCCCTGACGGAGCAGCAGGGGAAGAGTCTTTGGGTCTCGAGCCGACATCCGACAGGAAACTCGCCCAGAGGTCATCGGATTTCTTCTTCTGTTTGGCGTCGTCCTCACCCGCTTCCTGAGGCAGCTGGGCCTCCTCAGTGAGACTGCCAGCCTTCTCCTCTGCCTTTAACTTCTGCACTCCTTTCTTCCTATTTCCAGGAATTCATCATTAGTTATTTTATTATACTTTAAAGGGGCAATACCATGTAAAATCAACTTTTTTGAGTTTTATATCATGTTATAATGTTATACTCTCATAAAAAACATGACAAAAGCCTTGCTTTGACTCATTCATGCATGTTTGAGAAATCCTGCAGCGTTTTTAGGAAGCCATGCTGAGGAGCAAAACGACAGGTGGGGACCAGAAACGCCCCTGGGATGTGTCTTTAAAGAGTAACTTACCCCAAAATTAACTTTTTTTAGCTGATAAACTGTCTAGAATGTGTCTAAAATGTTATATAGTACTGTTTCTGTGCTAATTTTGATGTTTTTGTGTGTATTTGTTCAAATCTGTAATATTTGGTCTAAAAAATGTGTTTTTGCTGCTCATATGGGTAGAGCAGTGGTACTGCAGGCTAATTTGCATATTGGTTAACGGCTCTCCATGGTGACGTGTCTTCTCCACGGTTTCGTCACAGCGGCTGTGTTCTGTTATAAAAGCCTCTCTCTAAGACACGCCCCTGCAGCAGTCAGAGGGTGGAACAGTTTGCAAGCTTAGCATGATCGTCTGTTGGCCTTCAGCCTCGGGTGGGGAGAGCTGACTGCTGTGCCCCCCCCCCCACACACACACACACAAGCAGTACGTACTGCACAGCGGGAGGGGAGGAGGTGAAAAAAAGGCAGAAACACAGCGGCGCAGCTGCAGCCCGAACCAGACCGAATTTCAGTCAAACAAGACCCAACACTTTTATTCCTGATTTAAACTAGCGATCTTGTGAGCAGCTGCAGCTGTATGCTTTTATTTTTTTATGTCAGGCTGTCGGAGCGCTCCTCCTCCTCTGTCCGGTGCTGGTGTGGTGTGAGGCGGACACCTCAGCCGAGGCTGCGGTAAAGCGCACTGTGTCCTGATCCACGGAGAAAACACGAGTCAGTCCCAGACTGAGCTGACTTGATCAAGTCTCTCTCTGCCTCTGGTGAGGAGGGAGGTGAAAAATCCTCCACCTCAGACCGTTTAGAGATGTAACTGTCTGCGATACTGTGGTCACTCTCCATGTAGCATCAATTATGCTAATGCTAGCTGCCTGTCACGTTCTCTCGTCCTGGCCACACCTCCACTCTCTAACCCCCCTCCCCTACCCACTTTGATGCATTTTTTCAAATTTCGCCTTGGGGCGGAGTTATCTTTTCACAGTGGGGTAAGATACACTTTAAGCCGAACTTCCTCATGGCGGAGCACCCCCTCCCCCTCCCTCTCCTCCTCTCACCCGCTCCGTGACTCCGGCAGGCTATGTGCTGAAATGGGCATGACCGAAGTGGTTGGATTTTCTTAAAGAGACAGAGACCTTTTTCAAGACATTTAGAAACTGTCAAGATGGCAAGTTAATTGTTTTGGGATTTTTACAAATATTTAGCTCTTTCATAAGCTGAAAATGTGACATAGTTACTTTATTTTAGTATAAAACTGAAATACAGGCTTAGAAAGCACATAATATCACCCTTTAAGAAAAACGTGTTATATTAGAGGTGCTGTTGAATGAAAATAGGTGTGTTGTTTTTTTGTTTCTACAATTGATTTTCTGTCAGTCATCTTAAATAAGTTTGACTTAAAAAGCTGTAGATGTACGTCCAATAATTACTTTTAGAGTTTCATTAAAATCTGTTCACTGGTTCATGAGATAAAGACACGAACAAGCAGGAACATAGAGGAAAAAACATCACTGCCTGCCTTACACTTTTCAGTAAAAGACAAAAATAAAACTAGACTTAAAGCAATTTCCCTGTATTTTAAGATCTACTGTTAAATAACGATGGCTTTCCCAAAATTAATTCCTGCGTTTTAACAAATGCAAAGTAAATAAATGAAAAAAAATTTCTCACTTCTTACTGATGTCTTTTCTTTTCTTTTTTGGGAGGTCAGGATGTGGCACGGTGTCGCCTTCGTGCAGAGGGTCTTCCTGTTCACACTCATTCATGTCATCCTCACTCAGATTATCATCTGGAGAAAATAAAACAGACAGAAGAAAACAGATATAAAACTACATTTTTTTCCTTTAAACGTAAACCTGAAAGATCTGCTTTCAGTCATTTTTTCCAATGCACTGGAAATCTAAAATGTGTATTATATCAGTGTACTCTGAATTACACTGAGATTTCTCCTCTTCATCCTTAAAAAGAACATCCTGAAGCTACTAATCGCTCATAATATGGCCTCCATGAAGACCTTTAGGTAGCGTTTGGAGTAAATCACAGGACAGAAACTTCACTGATCTTGATGCTTTTGACGTAGTTTCTTGTGTCTGTGCTGGTCCTGTTCCATCAGTTTACACTGCCTGCGACTCCTCTCCGGTGCAAAGCACAGAGGTGCTCTGACAAGCATGTGCAGGAATGCAAAATTGTGCAATAAATGCCGTGATGAATGTGGAAGTCAGGCCAAACTGAATCATTCTGTGGAAGACGGACTGGAAACAGTTGAAACTGCTTCACTGTGGTCTTTTTAATTCATATTGCAAAATAAAACGTACACGTTTTGTGTGTATTCATGTGCTTCATGTTGCGTGTTGACAGCTTTTATGTAAATATATCTATATTTATTAAAGGGGCAATACCATGTAAAATCAACTTTTTTGAGTTTTATATCATGTTATAATGTTATACTCTCATAAAAAAACATGTCCAAAGCCTTGCCCTTACTCATTCATGCATGTTTGAGAAGTCCTGCAGTGTTTTTATGAAGCCATGCTGAGGAGCAAAACAACAGGTGGGGACCAGAAACACCTTTTGGTACCAGAAATGCCTCTGGGACGTGTCTTTAAGCCGAACTTCCTCATGGCAGAGCGTACACCCTCCCCACACACCCCGCCCATGACTCCTGCAGGCTTTTGGGTGAAAGTGAAACCTAACTATCTGCTGAGCTTTCAACACTAGTTCTCGCTCAGTGAAGCTCTTTTCAGATTAAAAATACCTTTGAGGAAATGTATTTTCAGACGCCAAGTAAACTGCAACATGGCAGCCCCCCCCCCGCACCGAAATGGGCGAGACAGAAGCGGAAGGTGGTTCTTAAAGAGACAGAGGCCAATTTCAAGGTGTTTAGAAGAAGAAGTGATGAGAATATAAGTTTATTTTCTATTTAAACATAAAACCAGCATTTTAATAACAGCTAAAGGTGACATAGATACTTCATCATGTTATAGTATTTAAATACATACCTGAGAAACACATAATATTGGCCCTTTAATGCAGCTAGGATTTTGATAAAAATTTGTCTGCCTTTGGTGAATTATTTTGGAAATACAGATGTACATACATACAAAATACAGATCGCCGTGAACATGCTACCACCAAAATGTTACCTTAAGCTTCTGGCTAATCCTTTACTGCTTTAAGCTACTTTTAAGTGGCGTCATCATGCAGTGATCTTCAGCTCTCACTGTAGTGGTTCACAGCTGGGATGAGGATCAGCACCTCTAAATCTGAGTCCATGGTCCTCCGATGGAAAAGGGTGGATTGTTCTCTCCAGGTTGGGGGTGAAGTTCTGCCTCAAGGGAAGGATTTTAAGTATCTTAGGGTTTTGTTCACAATTGAGGAAAGAATGGAGCGTGAGACTGACGGATCGGTGTGTTGTGGTGAAGAGGGAGCTGAGCTGTAATGCAAAAGCTTTTTGTTTACTGATCAGTCTCCTACCTTCATCTATCGTCACAAACCATAGGTATGGATAATGACTGCAAAAAGACTGTAAATAAAGGCAGTCCAAATGAGTTTTCTCTACATGGTGAGAAGTTCAGTTCTCCAGGAGACACTCAGAGTAGAGCAGCTGCTCCTCCACATCCAGAGGAGCCAGTTGAGGTGGCTCTTAGCTGGTCTCTTAATAAATTTTTTGGAACAAAGTTTTTTCTTCCATGGGAGGACATGTCAAAGGTGGGACCTCTGATCTGCTCTGTCTGGATATATATTTGGATTCTGATCACTGGATTCTACAGATTGGCTTGGTGGTCTCATGGTGTTCTACAAAAGAGCGTCAGTGGCTGTTCATTTCCTGGCTGCCTGACCAACATGAAGGATTGCTGTTCCATCAGCACTCAGATTTTAGCCTTGAGCGAGCTGGACTCAGTCTGTAAGAGGTTCTATTGAGGCTCGCGGGCCGGCTGTGGTCCCTGGACTTTGCTGGCCAGATGGAATTCATCTTGGAGACACTGATAGATCGACTCGGCGAGACTGTCTACACTATTTGTCTGATTGGATTTGCCACCTTGAGATGAACCAGTGGAAACGAATGCAGATGGAAAATTGTTATTGTCTGCCTGACCCACAACATTTTCTTCTGTTCCCAAAAAACTGATTACAGAT